TAGTTATTAGTTAGTTACGTACGTAGTACTATATATATATATATATATATATATATATATATATATATATATATATATATATATATATATATATATAAGTCCAGTCAGCACACACACCTCGTCGCCCTCATTCCTCACAGTGTCGAGAAACTTGACAAACTCCTCCATGGTGGCCTTCTTCTGTTCCAGGGACAACACTCCGGGTTCGCTCAGTCCACCCACAGTTACTGTACCGAACTTTGTGTCTGACCCATCCAGAAGTCCAGACAGGCGTCCGTTGGGGACGGGTGTGCCGCATCTGCTGATGCGAGGAGAGGTAGTCCTGCTCTTGGCACCTCTGCCGCTCAGCAGCGCATTCAACTTGTTGGCGAACTCGACAGCCGAGTTTCCCCGTTCCTGAATACAGACACCAAAAAACAAAAAAAAGCCTGGTGAGAATAATTAGTACTTAGGGATATATCAACACGGCAATGGTGACGGGTTTCTGGTTGAGTGTGCAGTGATAGAAAGGCGTGCATGGACATGGAACCTGTTGGTGGACTCTACAGCAGAGTATCATCGTTCCTGAGAAGGCTCGGCTGGAGATACTGCTGTTGAAGAAATTATAAATATGATGATCGCACCGGTGATGTGTTTCGGATACAACTTTGCAGGAATGGAAAGCCGTGCACTTCCTTAGCTGGTTTGGCTGGAGATTCCTATGTAGTACCTCAAACTATCTCTACACACTTCAGGTGACGGTGGCTCACTTGCTACTGCAGTACAGACAAACCAGAGTGCCGTGACATCGTACTTGTTCGCGACTTCGCAGTAGTGTGGCTGTCTGTCGCTAGGAATGTTTGGCTCGTTCAGAGGCTTCGCTCGATTGCATAGGCCTGAGGCGGGTCTGTTTAAAAAAAACCTTAACCCTCGCTGGATTGCATAGGCCTGAGGCGGGTCTGTTTAGTACAGCTCACGGGCGAGCAGAAACACGCCTTTGCGCCTACTAGCACACTGTAACACAAACAACAGGACCCATACCTTCAGTATACTAAGTACATCCCGGGAAATTATACCCATATACAACTCATATACAGACCCATACCTTCAGTTTACTTAGCACATCCCGGGATACTACACCCATATACAGACCCATACCTTCAGTTTACTTAGCACATCCCGGGATACTACACCCATATACAGACCCATACCTTCAGTGTACTTAACACATCCCGGGATACTACACCCATATACAGACCCATACCTTCAGTTTACTTAGCACATCCCGGGATACTACACCCATATACAGACCCATACCTTCAGTTTACTCAGCACATCCCGGAGTTGCTGCATAGTGTATCGCAAATTGAGCACCCTGTGGACACCGTCATGGTGGCACAGAGGTCCTTCGCGGGAGCATTGCAAACACGCCATTCGCTCACGCTCATCACACCTAATGCACGTCACAGACGAGAAGAAGCAGGTCTGGTGACAGACGTAGCATGGCCGCAGATCATCGTCCAGCTTTTCGAATACGAACGGATAACGTACAGTGGACGGCACAGTTTTCTTGCCTGTAGCGAGATAGGGGAAGATATATCAGTGGACAGGCAAGGCTGGGGAACGCACACATACACGTGCACGTACGCGTACACGTACACGTATGCGTACACATGCACGTACACGTACACTTACACGTGGATATCCGGTAACAGATGAGGACGAGGATGGTTAACAATAGCGCATGTGACCTGGGCCCGAGACGCCTACCAAGGTTTTTTGGCCTGTGACGTGATATAGTGGGAGATACATCCATGTTGATAGGAGGCTTGGTGACGCGGTCATAGATATCAAGTAGCAGACTAAAACTAGTTAAGGAACAGATGATGCAAGTCTCCCCCCCACACTCTTAAAATCACAGAGAATAAGGTTTTTATATACGCATGGTAGGTACATTTGTACAAAGGAAGGATGCAAGGGTGCTCGTAATCTCATCATACGAGCGACTGTACGAAGGTATAGTATTCGAGCAATGAGTCTAAACCAGCCCACAGCCCAGACACCGCCAGGCCAAAGGTGTTGGCAAAAGGTAATATAAATAATCCGGTAATGCCAGTACTGTCAATCGATAGCCATAATTCTCGACGCATCATATACGCGCACAGGCAACACTTATCCAAGACATACACCAGCAGGGATACAGTACCTGCACACCCACACCAAATGCAGTACACAATCCAACGTATATAGGCTACTAAACGTATATTGGCTACTAAACGTATAAAGGCTAAAAAACGTATATAGGCTACTAAACGTATATAGGCTACATAGATACACCCGAGCATACGTCCATGCGAATGCTTGCCTGTGCCTCGTTCCTTGCTAGCGGGTTTGCCACCGGATATACTCGAGTAGACATCCATACAATATATCACCCGCATCTCATCCTATAACAGAGGGTTTGTGAAAGAACAACAAGCCACCAGCAGAGATACAACACATGCGTGAGCCTATATACCTACCTGGCCGTATATCCTAACGCTCATAGCCTACCCAGATACAGTCGAGTTTACGTTCATGTGAATCCTTACCTGATCTCATCTCTTAGTAGCGGGTTTGTAGTGTAAGTCCAACAAGCCACCAGCAGAGATACAACACATGCGTGATCCTATATACCTACCTGGCAGTATATCCTAACGCATATTGCTGTCCTAGATACACTCACAGCAAATATTGTCGCGTTCCCTTCGAGCTGATACCCAACACATGCATTTCCAATAATTTTAGCGTGTATACAATGCATATATGAGTAAACGTTCATGTCAACACATGCCTGTATCCCGTCCCTTAGTAGGGGTCTTGCTGTACAAAGCCCAGGCGTCTGTGATGAACGTGAGGGTGGTTGATAAATCCTCGGCACTATCGCCCACCAGAAGATTCCGATTCTCAAAAGCTGCACTCTGCGTAAGCTCATTGACTTCGACTTTGACTTTGGACTCTATTGGTACGAATGCGATTCCGGATCGTCTTAGCTTATTTAGATTTTGGGCTGAGTTCCGACGCAGATATGGGACAATCAGAAGTTTTATTTGGGACCCAACACATAGAAGTTCCTTCATGTTCAGCTGATACAAATGCGATTATAAAACCTCAACCTCTCAAAACTCCAAATCTGAAATTCCAAATTCCAACAAGAAGCAGCTACACACTAGTTGGATGCTCTGTTGCATGTACATAACCATTCACGGCAGCTCCTATACGAATACGTACAATACCAGACCCTAAAACCCTAGACCCCTAAAGACAAGACACCCACAAAACCCTACATCCCACACCAACCAAGTCCCATACCTTTGGGGTTGCCTGCTGTGTGTGCACTCCCATCCCCGGGAGACCCCATGCGAGGGCTGCTACAGCCCTCTCGCTTAACCACCGTCACTGCCGACATCTCCCGTGCAGCACCAGGCTTAGCTTCCGGAGAATCCTCCACAAGCACAATAACAGAATTAGCGGCGTTCTTGGCCGTGGCACACGCGCCCATACCATTCGTGGATGGTCCCGCCTTGTGCGTTTTTGCTACATCCCTCTCGCTCGTGTCCCGATCGCACACAGCCGGACCCGTCGTACCGGTTGCCATGGTAACCGACTCGGTTATACCGGTTTGGGGTGCCTCTGCTATTGCGGAACTTGGACGTGCCACGTCGGGGGTTGTAGACTGTGCCTGTATCGCGTTTGCATCGGCTGGGGGTGTGCTGGTTGTGTCTGTGATGACGCGGATGTCTGCTTTGTGTGAAGGTGCCATTCGGCCCATTTTCGCGGTGGGCTGGGTGGACGTGAGGTCAATGTGTACATATTGGTGAGCATACGAATTATTGGCAAAGACATGCAATTGCATGGCAGCGAAAAGGGAGGATGAGGCCGAGCATCCAGATGTGAATGTATGTTTGATTTGGATAGACATATGCTCCTTACAGGACACGGGGGAGTAGGGAATGATAAGTACATATATATGGAGATGGATGGTATGTAAAGATATATACATCTTCTTCGCAAGGTAAGCAAGTCACGAGTTTATGAATAGGCTGTCATGTAGCTATGTGTTGTTAGTGCATGTCACTGGGAGCAACAGTTCCTTTGTAAGGCACGAGCATGCGTTGCAAACACTTCCACACACAAATACATACACGCTGCTTAAGTCGAGATATGGATTTCAGTACGCCTACTACACGATCACCTATCACCATAGCAACCACACGGAGAGTCTCTCGCTGACAAAACGCGCTGGGGGGTGGGGTGGAGGGGTAGAAGCTGCCACTACCATAAACGAACCCAACAGACTACTGCGACCACACACACAGAGAGGAGGAAAGAATGCAACACCGACGCAATGACTGCCAACAAAATAAACCAATTGTACAAGGCAGTCATACATCACTTATTAACAAGCAACACAAGGAAGCCATACATTACTTACTAACAAGCAACACAAGGCAGTCATACACTACTTTCTAACAAGCATCACCAGAACCACTACACCTACAGTCCACACAGCACAGTCAGGGCTCCATCACACCCAAACACACAGTAAACACACCAGCTACACCCACCAGCTACACCCACCTCATCACCACCCTCTCCCTGCTGCAAAGGAGTGTCGTCTGCCGAGTATCTGGGTTGCTTGGTCCAGTGCTTGATCGCATTCTCGTCCTGGCCATTACACAGCGCTTTTCTGAGCGCATCCTCTTCGTTTATTAACACTTCCAAGGTGGTCGCCAGAGATCGGGCCATGGGCGGGGTCATAGACTCGTGCCTGGTAGCGTGTATGGGAATCCATAGGTGTATGTTAGCAGAGATAGGTATGGAGTGTGTGCTTGAACTAATAGATAGTGAATCAGCATGTGGGATGTGGGATGTGTCCGAGTCTTCATTCACTGGCACGATCATCGTTGTCTCCAGAGATCGGGTCAAGAGAGGAGTCATTATCCTTGCATTATGCATAGGTTGGCAATATAACCATACAATTACTCTACATTTTTATAATATATATATATATATATATTTATATACGCACACACACACACACATATATATATACATACATACATACATACATACATACGATTAATATTCTGTGCGTCTATATATATATATATAGACGCACAGAATATTAATCTCCCCATATACATACTAGTGAAGAGGTATGAATGCATAATTTCGAATGCTATTTTGACATGCATCTGATTTCACGCACCTGATTCCTTGCACGAAATCCCAACCCGTCAAAGAAGACATGAAGAAAGAAAGCCCTGTGTTAATCAGGATGCTATTTTGGCAGACACCCTATTTATCCTCACCTTATTCCGGCGCAAAATATAATCTCTTCAAACGAGAACACTGGGGCTCGTCCCTTCTTCCTATAGCTTTTGGCGGACTTCAGGCCCCATGGTAGCCATGCAACGGGTGCGAAGTTCACAGCCTCCGCAAAGTTAAACCCCTGAAAGGTTCGTAGGTATAATACGGAACACTACTCAGATGTATTATGAGGCGCGTGTAGACAGACATGTGTGGGTGTCTACAGGGATATACTCAAGCCCATATACACACACGATGAAATATACACTAAAATACATACATATCTATATAAGGCACGACAATTGGGCGTTCCAGTGACACAAAACAATAGAACAATTCGGATCAATACATTTGCATTGATTGAGGTCCAATAATTCATACACATCTAAACTGCCGGTGAGTTCACACAATCTCTCTCTGTGTGTGTGTGCGTACAGCCCCTGCTCGAACACAACACGCGCATGTCGTCGTTGACTATGAAGATACCGTGTACAAGGTGCAGTGTGGTATAAAGACGGGTGTGCTAGTCCCACAAGCAGTCTAATCAGCCAGGCCACCGATACTCTCGACTACGCAACACTCATGGACGCAACACCCTCGATGATTCGACCAACATAACAGCACACGGCAGCCGGTAACGTCTGAGGTACCGAATACAATCATTCGCACGTCTAAAGCTAAGCTATTCACTATAGTACATACCCCAGGTCGATAGCCTGTGCGACTATGCTGCTTTGTATAGGTATGATCAATACCCATATGCGTAGTTATATTCAAATATAGAGCTATATGATGAGTTTTAGGGTTTTGAGAACCAGTTTGGCCACGGGCCGAGCCCACTCAGTTTAACACGGCTCTTGCCTTTTGAGACTATATACCCACCCAACAGCATCGAATATGGCAAATCTCAATCAAAACGTACATGATCCTCTGTAAACCCTAGCTCAAAATATCACCATATTGTTTGTTGGAATGAGCTACATGTCTATAGCTAGATTGCGTTCTAAATAAGATAGAAAATACACAGCAATCTAAATACGATAGAAAATACATAGCTATCTAAATAAGATAGTGAATACATAGCTATCTAAATACGATAGTAGATACATAGCTA